CCCTAGCGGTAAATAAGGACTTGTCCCCAGTATCTCACCAGAAAACTCGAAAACACATTACTTTAAGTAATCGTCACCGACTGTGAGGAGGGATATACTCAAAGGAAAAAGTAGAACGAAAAAACAAACGATGCACTTCACCGTTAAGTCGGAGGTCTCTATTTTGTCGAGACCGGCATCTGCCCAGAAGATTGTCTGGGAAGCTTCGTCGATGATTAAACCATTTGGCCATTTTAAATGTCCCGAAACGACAGTCCATCGGCTTTTTCCATCCAAATGAGCTCTTTCAATCTTTGGAACAGCTCCCCAGTCCGTCCAGAACATCCACCTGGTTGTATAAGTAGGTAATTGGCTAACGCTTTACGTTCTAACATCATCATGCATATTCTCCATACCGTTATTATATATTTCTTTTGGTAGTGACAAGTAGAATTTGTTCACAATCAAGAAATCCCCCTCACCCCCCCCGTACTCCTCTCCCCCACCCCCTGGAGGACACTCGCCATTGAGGATAATAACTCGGAAAAACAAACCTTCCAGTCTTGTAGAGGATAAGTGCCCTTGGCTTACCTAAGCCCCTCAGTAAGAAGAAATCCCTCCGTACTCTCCTCCCCCTCCCCCCCTTGGAGGACACTCTCCGTGAAGGATAATACCTCGGAATTACAAACCTAGTCTTGTGAAGGATAATTGCCTTTGACTTATCTAAGCCCCTCAGTAATGTCACGCGTCCCTGACCATTCGTGTTGGCTCGCTCTATACTCATGGACTTGACATCAGTCCAGTATATCAAGTCATTTTCAACATCGAGTGTCAATCCATCCAAAATTCCAACGTTTCTCCTGCATTGACAAATAGTGTCGCAAGTTTTATTATTGCATATTGTATCAGTCTCCTAGTTTTAAAATTATTCAAGAAACATTTTGATTTTTGCATCTTGTCTTTAAAATCACGGACGAGGTCAAAAAAATGTTCAAAACCAACAAAGAGGTGGCCCACTTTCCGCAGCTGGGTTGTTCACCAATGTTCTTAACAGGTTCTGAGTTCATCAAAAGAGAGTTTTTTGCTCTCGGCTTATCTAAGCCCATCAGTTAATTCGAGTTAGCTTGATCAATACCATCAGTCCAGTGTAATTTGCCAATTGAAATGTCCAATGTTCAGGAATCCCAAAATGGTACTTCCTGTATTGGCACCTGCTCATGAGAAATACCGATCCCTTATAAAGCAATTTTCAATTGAGATGTCGAAAGTAATCCGAGATTGCATTGGTTTCCTTTACTTTACTCTGTGATTGGCCTAGAAATCTCGCGCCATTCTCTTAGATGCAAAACCAAAAACCCAATCACGATTTGGTCACCGGCGTTTTCCCGCACTTTAGGCAGATGGTTTTACTTTGAGTTCTCATTGGCTCTTAAATGTATTATCCTTTCTTCTGATTGGCCGTTGTGACTACACTCAATGAAAAAAGCGCTCTGTTACTTTAGTAGACCGACATCATTCTACCATGGTAGAGCAAAACCTTACTACACTTTTTTGTATGTGATCGTGCTTCATTTCCCCGCCTTAAGCTCTATAATGGTCTCTATAATATATCAAAGGGATAAGGAAACAAAAAAATTAAATACAAATGGAATAAGTGTAGTCAGAAGATGTCATGAGTTTTATGGAAATTGGTTGCCTCTGACTGTTTTTATTTCTGAAACAGACGTTTCGGCTAATGCTTTAGCCTTCATCAGTGATATGA